CAAAAAAGCCTCTCTTAATTGCTGACCGAAACTCTGATAATTTTAGTGATATTGTATTTTTTTTTATTTATTATTATAATTTTTTTTTGCACCAAAAAAAACTTACTAATTCAAAGACAGAATCTCTCCCACATCTGGGCCGCAGACCACAAGTCAATAAAAGCTTACTTAACACAAAAAGTACCTCCAGCTAACTTTAACGCTCGTAGAATTTTTGAATCAGCCAATAACAAAAAGAGAAAAAAACACCAAATGAAAACAGTCAGCAACAATATTACGTCATTACAAAACGCTGAAAACGAGTGCAAAGCGATTATAATAGACGAATTCAATCGGCACAACGAGAGATTGGAGGAATTTCTTATGTGTTTGTATGTATGTGGTATTTGTATGCATGTATTTGTTGTAATATTTATAAGCGCGCGCTTACAGCCCTTCGCTAGCACCTGCTATCTAATTTTTCTCGATTTTTTATTATTTTTATATCATATATGTATTTATTTTTCTCGCTTGGAACAATATGGCAGCGTTTGACACGCGAATGAAAAACGCGACCGCCTGACTGGAGACAACGCAAACAGCCTGTGAGAGCGCCAAGCGCCAAAGGTGGCCTGTGGGCAATTGAAGGGTTCATTGTTTGTTGGAAAAAAAATTAGAGGTCGATAAAATAACTATTTTGTTAGAGAAATACATTTATGTACATATATATATAGTAATATGTTCATGTATACAAATTTATTAATAATTATTATATATATTCATGTACGATACATATGTATTTGTATGAAATATTTCGAATTTATAAATGTATTGAGGCAGATTTGAAAATGCTAATCTTAATTTAAGAAAAAATATTTTATTAAAAAATTTATTTTAATTTTATTTTATTTTATTTTATTTTATTTTATTTTATTTTATTTTATTTTATTTTATTTTATTTTATTTTATTTTATTTTATTTTTAATATTATTTTATATTGTTTTTTACTTATCCACTTATATGTAAATATGCATTTTTATTTAAATTGTTGAAAAAATGAATATATTGGTATCTATATACATCAAATTATAGTCATTTTATAATAATCTACATGGAAATTAGGGCTTGTCAACTCACATGCAAACATTATTTTTTTCCGAAGAATACATGTATGTACGAGCAAGTACAAGCAAATGCATTACTGTAATTGTTGACATGCAATTTGCAAACAATTTTGATGAGCATAACAAGTTTTCGTGTTTTGAAAACTGCATTTAGATTTATGTGCTTTTTATATCTTAATTATTGTTTGTACAAAGAAATTTTCTTAAAATTTAAAAAATAGTATTTATATCTGCTATATGTACCATAGTGTATATATAATAAAGGGCGATTTTTTCAGAGTTCCTATAGCTCTAAAAAAAAACACATAAAATTCAGAAAAATTCATGAAATCTTTATTTGAGTCGATAGTACGATCTATATAATTTAATGTTTGAAGATTATTTCTTGCAAATTTTGATCGTGACTGCGCCTCAAATAGCCCCTTCACTTAGTCCAATTTTTGCACCTTCTTTCCAACATTTCAGACGGTATCTCACGAATAAATGCTTCAATGTTGTTCTAAAATTCGTCAAATGCGGGCATGTCTGTATAGACACTGGGTTCAATACAGCCCCACAAAAAATAGTATAAAGGCGTTAAATCGCATGATCTAGGCGGCCAATTGACCGGTCCTGAACGAAAAATAAAATGTTCACCGAACTCGCCTCTCATTAAGTCTATTGTTAGGCGTGCTGTGTGGCATGTGGCACCGTCTTGTTAGAACCACACGTCATACGAAGCTTGACTCGCATTTTGGGCAAAAACCCTTTGATATCATCTCACGGTAACGCTCACCATTCACAGTTCCTTTACGATTCGCATCATCTTTGAAGAGCTACGGTCCAATGATTCACAAAACTATGACTTTTTCTGAATGTATTGGTAGCTCTTGCAATGCTTTTGGCTGATCTTCATTCCAAAATCGACAGTTCTGCTTATTCACGCACCTATTAAGCCAAAAATGAAGCGCGCGATGAACTTTCAAACTGAAGATGTTTGACAGTGAAACAAAACACGAAACGTGCGTCAGCGGTTTAAGCCAGTGTTGCCAAAAAGATGACAGCTAAAAAATCACCCTTTATTATAAACTATATCACATAGTGTTTGGAATTCTTATCGTGCATTATGGTTACTAAATTTAGAACTGCAGTAAGTCATAATCCGTTTCAAGACTTTTTTGTAGTCAGACCCTACGGGTTCACACTTATTAATAAAACTAAAGATATTTTTTCGACATCATTTTTCAAGTTTCATGCCCAATTCATACACGGAAAGATTGTTTTGGCTAAGCTACACCATCCGTTCGAAGAAGTGAACTAATATTCATTGAATCGTAGTGCGATTTTCCACATATAAAAGTAAGGAGGAAAATATATGGCAGTCAACCATCCACATACATATCCATATTTATTAGTTGTTTTGTCCCTTTCACGAAAACCTTTAAGCGAATCTATTTTACAAATTGAGCTTTATTTCTATCAACAAATTCTGCATCTATAATTGTTTTGTTGCACTCAAGATTTTAGACCTGCATTGAACTATGACAAAATTTCTGTTAATCACTAAAAGGTTAAGAACGAATAATACAATATACTCAAGCCTTAACGGTTTTCTTAAACTTTACTGAACACCATTTAACACCTCGAATGCTCAAAACAATTCCTAGAAGAAATCGCGCTTGTCCTCTATTAATTCCAGAAAGTTGTTCTGTACCTCATAGTCACTAGACTAATTTGTCTCCAAGCTTTGTAAGCCCGTCGAAAATATGTGTTCGTTTGTATAGGATTATCTATTTCGAGGTTTCAAAAGTATAGAGCTGTATTTTGACGTCCGTCAAACTGAACTGTCAACCAAAGATATTCTTTTTTACTTAAAAGTCAGATATTTATGAAAAATGGATCGGTTAACAACCGAACAACGGCCTAAAATGATGCCACCTATGGAGCTTTAAGAGGAGATTAATTGGTAGTGTTTTAAAGAAAGAACGGATATTGTAAGGCCTGTGCATGTGCATAATCGTTTTGATCGTTCCACCTCCGATATCGCTACTGTAAGTGAAAGTGTAGTCGAAGCTCTGAATGTGTCTATACACGTGTATATCCACGCTCTAAAGAGCTGGAGCTATCTTACGGTACATTTTAGGGTATTGTGTACTTGGACTTAAGCCCACATCCATATAAAGTCCAGCTCACACAACAACTGAATGCCATACATACGTCAATTAGGGGCTTGAGCAACGAGCATTGGACGGCGACACGGGGGACACGTAAATAACCGAAGGTTTCGCATTTGAGGCTCCGATATTTCACAAATAATTGAAATGAGACCATTGCACCAAAAAACAAAACTTACTGTCTGGAGTTGCCTTTATGATTGTGTGATAAGCGACACACACTACGTGCGAAAATGGCTTTATTGAGAGAGAAATTTCTCGGCCCGTCTTTTCGATGTAAATTGGCTACCGAGATTGTGATATTTTACTACGTTACACTTTTTTATGGGCTACGCGAAAGGCCGTGTTTATACGGATAAACCCCTGAGAACCTGAAAATCAACATTCGTCAAGTTATGGCTGAGACATTGAACATTATGTGCCAAAAATCAAACGAAAATTAAGTTAAAAGGAATGTAGGATTGCAAGTATAACAAAGAATTTTATGAAAAAAATTATCTTAAATGTTTTTTTATTCCATATATTTCGAAATTGACTTTCGAAAATGGATAAAAAGTGTTTTTTAAGCTTTTAATTCAGTACTCAATAAATACAATATTTAAGTTACGATTTTTTTTAATTTTTAATGTTTTTATTAAAAAAATATATTAAATTACTAAAGAAATTTTAAGAAAACATACGATTAACAGGAATTATTCATGAAATATAAGAAAAAAAGAGGCAACAAAAATATCCATAATAAATTAGATTTGCAAAAGGAATCCTGCTCAGATTAAAAGACAGAGATGAAAGCAAAAAAAAACTTGAGAAAAATATACGAAATAAAGCCAATAAGAGGATAATGTGCGAAATGAGGTAATCTTATGCGGTCAGGTAAGATGGTGGCAATGAGTGATCAACAAAAACAAAGAGCTAAGACTACAAAATGAGTAAATAACCAAGAGTTTGTACACACGTAGTGGCAAGGAGGGTGGGTACTGATTGCAAGGCCTTAAAGGTTCAAAGTTGAAGGTAAATATGATAATATGTCGAAGACTACGTTGTATCTACATGCATATGTATGTACGTATGTACGTATGTATGTATTGATAGTTGGTGATGGTGGTGTTTGTGAAAATAGAGGAAGGCAAATGATATGTAACTACAAGCGACAGTGTATCTACGGTGAGAAAGCCTGCTGGGTAAGGACGTGTAAGGATGATATGTAGAAGATGCATATTTATGTGCATGGCACGAGTAATGCAAATGTAACTATATGTATGTATATGTATGCATGTTTATAGAAATGTGTGCAGTGATGTAGAGAAAAGTGATGATAGCGTCAGGTGAGGTGATGTGATGGTGATGTCGACTTGATGTGATGTTGTATGTTGATAATGCCACAGAAGCAAAGAGAGAAATGCTAATACAAGAAAAAGTAATAGACACACAAATACGCACATACAAATCTACCTATAAATATGTATGATTTGTATGCACATATACATGTGTGTACATACATATATATTTTTAAATACACACATATAATATTTTCCTACAAGGAGACGCACAAAGCATTACAGCAGCCACAGTTGCGCAGCAGGAGCAAACGTCCCCATAAATGCAGCAGCCATTGCCACTGCTACTGCTTACGTCTGTCTGCCCTGTTTGCGGCACACAGTGCGCTGCTGCAGCAAAGTTGCATCAAAAGTAGCTGTGCGGCTCAGTCGTGCATAACACCTCCGCATATACAATAAAAACTCACCTGTATTAGTGTTTTTTGTTGTGGTTGTTGTTACTTTAGCAGTTCCTTTTTCCCTTTTGACGTTGTTTGTTTGTTTGTTCTTTTTGATTTTTTTTTTTTTTTTGCAACTTCCTTCAATCGACACTGCAGCTGTGCGTACGTGCGCTTGTATGCGTAACGCGTGACCTGAATGTAAATACACTTCCGCTGCAAAAGTCGCCGCTTCACTTAGCTCTTGATATTTTCACACACTCAAACACACACTTTTTGGTTTTTGTTCTGCTTTTCTGTTCCGTGGCTGTTGCAGGAAAGCCTCTACACAAATATTTTGTACTACTTCACTGCTTACGACACAATTACAAGACCAACAAGCACTGTTTCCAGACTTGCCTATTGACGATGCACCTTTTCTCTAATATGTGTATGTAAGAATTTTGTTATTTCTTTTAATTAGCAACTTATTTATGTGTGTTGCTTTAGTTAACAAATTTTTTGTAATTTTGTATATTTATTTTGTATTTATTTTTATATTTTTACTTTACACAAACGTCTTTCGCCTCAGCTGACATTACTCTTCAGTTCTCTTTATTTTACGTTTTCGTCACGAAAAATCAATAATTCGCTTGTTCACCTTCTCGCTAATGATTTTTCTTCAGCGTTTTTTCTTTTCTTTTCTTGGGCTTAATTTCGTTTCCTTTTATATTCTTTGTATTTGTTATTTGAAGAGCGTATTTTACCGCTTTGGCTGTGAGCAGGAATTCGTTGTTTCCGTTTTTATTTCGTAGTTTTCTATAATTGATTCACTTTAATAATTACATATATACATATATATGTATTCTTTTCAATTGGAAACTATGTTCTCTGACTCAATATAACTTGCTAATTGGTCACTTAGCTGTGCTTTAACCCTTCTACAACTCGACGAAAACAAGACACAACCGTTCGCTGCGACGTCAAAATTGCCATTGGAGCATTGGCAATTCAGTAAAAGCGTAGCAGAGCATATTGTTGGAGCTCTCAAAGCGAATGAGTGCTAGATAAGGAGTGGATGGTAAATATGGCACGGTAACGACATCTGTCGTGGATGAATGTGTCAAATAAAGGAAGGAGACAAACCAAGTAGGGCGACATCTAGCGCGGAAGGGTAAAGTTGTATAAGTCTGATTTGTGTGAGTTTGAAACGGCTATTTGCGGAAGTCAAAAATAGCAGAGCGGAAACTTGGGTTCGATTGAAATTTCGGCTTTTGAAACAGTTACATGCAGGGAAATTTCTAATAAAAATAGCTTAAGATAAAAATCAGAAGAATCCTTTAAGCGGTAACCGCAGGATCGAAAGCCATGGAATTTGTGGGAGCCAACGGAATAACATTATGACGCCCTAACCCCAACATAAATGACATGTTTATGAGTCCTCAGCACTCCAGTCTTATTACTTACATAGCTCGTAAATGGTTGCCACCGCTGTACCAATTCCCGACTGAGCTCCTCCTCCAATTTTCGATGCGCATTCTGAGGTTTTCCCAACAAATTGTAGGACTTACAATTTTTTCTCCATGCGATTAATGAATTCCAAAATACATTGAGAGAGACTTAAAATTACTAAAAGGAAAAAGTCTATAATTTTGTATGCTGATCTGATGGGGATTCGGGTACCACATACAGCTAAGAGCTCGCTCTCCACAAACAAAGACCAAGATCTGTAAGTCGGTCATCATTCCAAACTTACTCGTATGTTTAGCTGAAAAAGCTTATATGTTGGCTTCATGAAATAATTTAGCTTTGGGAAGTTTCGAAGAAAAAGTTTATGACACGCAACATACAGATGACGCTGAATATCGCATATAATGGTGCAAGGAGCCGTACAAGGTTGGAATAATTCAGAGGATTAAGAGATAGCAGCAGCGAGAGCTGGATCATGTCGTCCTGAAAACACTCCAGCTTTGAAAGTAAGCAGTTAACTGCAGTAAAAGCAAGGGGCCTCTGCTCCGTCATAAAAATCAGATCAAAAAGGGCATGGCTTAACTTGATGTCACCAATCGACTCCGATCTGGAAAAAGTGGGGAAAATACTGGTGGAATATTGTTCATTCAGCTATGATCATCTTAAGATTCCACCGCCGACTAAAAACAGGGAGAAACGGAAGGCGAAAACTGTAGAAAAAGTCTTCTTTACTAAGTCTGAGACGCTCTTTTCTGCTTATAAAGCATCTGATAACTATCCGTTTGGCATTCCTGACAATACTTGATGTAGAGCCTATCAAACAGTATCAGTTACAAACCATGTAATGTCACTTGAACCTACTAGAAAACAACATGGTTTCGAATGTGAATGTTAAGCTAAGAAGCAGACTTTTTAACACCCGGCTCGTTATTGAAAACCTTAAGAAAGCTTCGCAAGATTAAATTCTTCTAAAGCTTTTATCATTCATTTTTTTATTTTGAAGCTTTTCAAAGTTTTAAGCTATTAATATTTATTATTTGTTTTAGAGTCCACACACAAAAGCTCAAATGTACCGAAGCAATAAAGCAACATGTTGCCAAGCTTATAAAAGCTTTAGTAATTACAACTACACTAAAACAATAAATAAGTATGTACTTACTCTTGCATGTATAAACGATAAACTTATAAGTATGTATATTGTTGAATTCTCTAGCATATTTCAAGGCTAAGATGTGTTGCAAACCATGTTGCAGATTACTCACCATTTTGTTGCGCAACTATTTAAAATACTGCCAATGCTCCCATTGTTGTTGTAGCGGCATTCTTGGTGGCTATTGGCTGACGCCATACAACCATCCCAGGCATATCCTGGCTCCGGTACATATGCCGGATTTGTTATTCCTTCGAGACGGCAGAAAACGGCTGATTTTTTATTTTGCACACTCATTTTTTTATTATTTGAATCTTCGATCGACGATGTGTTGTGACGCATATTTAAGTTTGAATTCCTTAGATAAATTTGAAAATGCTAAGAAGAAATTTAACTTGGACAACTGAAAGTTTTTAAATAAAAGGAATTCATTATTGGCACCAAGTAAGAGTAGCTTCTTAGATCTGGGTTTTCTATCACTATTTTCAATCTCTTTCCGTAACAATTTGCGATTGTGTAAAAAGCCTTAACAGGATTAACCGATAAACTCACGCAGTCACGCGCGTATCCTACTAAGGATGAAACGGTTACAAGTTTTTAAACTTGTATTACCTAATATGTACTTAAGATGACGACGAGTAACCCGGAACTTTTCATCACTTACTCTATGTATGCATGCATTTTGAAAACATTGGCAACATAGTTTTCAGTTATAGCTAAATTTTCACAAATTACTCTTAATGAAGTTAGGATAAGCGTGAAAAAACCGTAAAAACTTTTATATAATTACAAGCACACAATTTTCACTGAACAAATTTTCAAACTATTCTTAATATATATACGAATAATTATATAAATTATAGCTTAAACTTTTAGCGATTATTTTGTATTTAATTCTATTTGCTTTGATTTTTTATTTATTTTTTTTCAGTTTTTGCTTTATTTATTTATTTTATTCTGCTCGAATTTGATTAATACAATTACAATTTAACATAATTTAATATAATTTAATTTAATTTAATTTATTTTATGTTTTTATATTTTATTATATTTAAATTTATTTAATTTGTCTTTATTTTATTTTTCATTATTTATTTTCGTTTATTTCATTTTTTGCCATTTAATTTTAATTTACTTCATTTTCTTGTATTTGATTTTATATTACTTTATTTTTCGTTATTTTATTTTAGTTTATTTTGTTCTATATTTTTTTTCTATTTTTATTTTATTTCATTAGATTTAATTTTATTTTTGGTTGTTTTTTATTTTTTTTTTATCCACTCTTTCTTTTTTTATTTTATATGTTTATTATTTTCATTCACTATTTTATTTTACTTTATTTTATTATATTTTTCTATTTATTTTATTAATTATTTATTGTGTTTTATAAATTTTTTTTTAATTTATATAAATTTTTTCATTTCATTTCATTTTGCTTAAATTTATTTTTTCTATTTTAATTAACTTATTTGATTTTATCATTTTATATTTTATTTTTTCTATTTTAATTAACTTATTTTATTTTATTTTATTTCATTTTATTTGATTTTATTACTTTTTATTTCATTTTTTCTATTTTAGTTTATTTATTATATTTTATTTTATGTTATTTTATTTTATTTTACTCTATTGTTTTTAATTGCTTTTTTTTTGTTTAATTTATTATTTTATATTTTGTGTTTTTATTTAACTTTTCTGTATTTCTTTAAATTATCTAAATTTCTTCTTTAAATTTTGTTTTTTTCTGCTTAAATTTATGTATGCTTAATTTTATTTTATTTTATTTTTTTTTAATAATTTTTTATTTGAATATATTTTTTTTTCTATTTTATTTTATTTATTATTTGATATTTTTATAATATATTTGTATTTTGTTATTATATGTAATTCTTTTTTTATTTTATTATAGAAATTTTTTATATTGTGTTTATATAATTTATATAATTCTTTTTTTTATTTTTTTCTAGAAATTTTGTCTTTTGAAATAAAATAGAATTAAATAAACATTTTCATTTAAAATTTCTTTTGTTTTATTTATAGTTCTCTTTTTTAATTTAATTTTATTTTATTTTTTTGTTTCAATTTATTTTATTCTATTTTATTTTATATTTTTTATTTTATTTAATTATATAATTTTATTTTTTTCTATTTTATTTTATTTTATTTTATTTTTTTCTTTTACTTCGTATTATTTTATTTTGCTTATTATTTGTTATTTTTATTGTTTCTTTATTTTGTGTGATTTTAATTAAAGTTTTCATATTTTATCTCATAATTTTAAATTTTTTCCTTTTATTTATTTCCTTTTAATTTAAAATTTTTTTTTTTGTATTTATTTAATTTTATTTTGTTCTATGTAATTTTTTCTTTTTAACTTATTTTTAATTTTTATTTTGTCTTTTTTTTACGATATCTAATGTGTTCTTATTAGTTTAATTTTTTCGTGATAAATACTTTCCCACCGCTCTTTTTACGATCCGTCGTTTAATATTACAAATTCAAAACTGATCCGCAACGAATTCTATCCACTTCGATTCTTAATCAGTTCGCACCCCAAAACTTACATACACAGCTTCCGAATTTAAATGTGTTTAGTGATGCGCGTAATTGGCCAAGGGTAAAAAATGCAAAAACATTTGTATATACATAAACTTAGTCATTATTTAAAAAAATAAAAATAAAAGAAAAATTTAAAAACAAAAGAAACATTTATTTGAGTGTTAAAATTTGTTTGAACTTTTTATCGGAGGTGCGGTCATTGGACAACTAAAAGCTTGCACTTTACGACTCGCTTTTCTTTGAATTATTTCACTTTATTTCTAAACTGCTGTTTCTATTACAGGTATATGTGTTCGTATATATGTATGTGTATAATGTTTTCACTTGATATTGACATTTTCATAAACAAAATATTTATGGGCGTTTTCTACATCGTCGTTTGTCAGCTGTAAACTGATCAAATGATCGTAAAATATTGAGCAATAAAATGTATTCTGAGCAAATATATATTATTTATGGTTTCTCTTATTGCAAAATCGTGTCTAGGAAGCAGTTTTGAATTTTATTATTCAACAATTTAATCGTTATTTAAAGTCGGTGGAGTGTGCAGCTCTAAAGTGATTCAATTTCAAGACAGAGGATTTCTGTTTCAGATGTGCTTCGGGTGCCTTCTTTAACGAAGCCTTTAACTTGAACGAAAGAAACTGCGTTTTGGGACGAATCCACTTAAATACTTGAAGTGTTAGTATCCTAAAAACATAATCATCTGATTCAAATATTTACTATCTGTTAACTTATTACTTAAAATGTAATGATTTCCGAGTCAGCTCCTACGGACCACTACTCAATCCTTACAGAATTGTATTGTAATTAAATTTTTCTTTCTTGTGAATTACATTTTGCTCCTTATTCTCGAAACAATCTTATGCATTTTTAATAAAATAAAAATCGTTATTGTCTCGACTGATTTGCATTTGTTGGAATACAATTGTATGAATGTCTGAAATAAGATGCCAGTCGGTAGGGCGCATGTACGATTGGGCGGAGTCTGTAATGTTGCAAGTTTGTAAAATGAAAAAAAAAACGTGCATGTGCGAGTCTAGCAACATGTTGCTAGCAATATTTATTTCCACACACCCACACACATATAGAATATGAGTTGGGTGAGCTTTTGCCGGTGAAATTCACGGTCAACCAAGAGGCAAGCATGCGACTCTGTGAATCAGTCATATCTTACCCATTCGCGCAGTTGTGTGGATTTTATACGTTTTTTCTGTTAGTTAACTTGTTAAGCGGGTGTTCGTTTAGTAAAATTTCAAAATAAGCCCTCAAGAAATGTAAAAAATATATCAAATAAGAATCAAACTATTGTGACCACGCCAAAAATGGTGCTTCCATGAAAATATAACTAAATCTAATACATATCAAATCCGTGTGCAATTAAAAGTAAAAAAAAATTAAATAAAAAAACAGCATAACGTTAAAAAATACACCTATTAATATATTAAAAAGGTAAACAAAAAAAACGGGTAAAAGAAATAACCGAAAATTCGCCTCAAATACGTATGTATGTATATATATGACAACAGCAATATTATTTAGCAATAGATCCTGTCGAGACTTTGATCGATTAAAAAAAGGAAATGAGTGGAGTGTGTCTAAAAATATGCATTCCCTTATCTTAAAAAAAAGACCTCCGCATAGAGATGGAGAAACATCTCTTCAATTCGAAAAAAAATGAAGATTTCTTCCTTTATATTGTGAGAAAATGAAGAGAAATCGTCAAAACCTCATACGATAATTTTGTACTCTCCTAACTCGAGAGCTACAAATTTTTGCCGACCATTCGGAAACTCGCTAAAGACTTTGGGGACTAAGAAACACCTAAATAATATTTCAGTGATCTGTTGTTTTGTGATGGAAGTTTTGAAGTTACTTATTTGTCATGAATCAAAAACTGCTCGCTCGAAAATTCTTTGATTCAATAAATTAAAAATTTGGTTAGAAAACACTTGCCTCACTCCATCTAAAAAATTGGCGATTTGTAACCGCTGAAGCGATTTTCGGCAGGGGTCATGTTCCAATTTGTGGTATGCGTCGTGATTTTTTCCCCCAAAAATTGGAGTGGCTTATAGTTTGTACTGAGTAAATAACTAGAAAAATTTTGGGAAATTTTTGCGGAAAACTTATTACATTGGCTAATTTAAAAAAGTATTTCCATTATTTTTGCATTAAATTTAAGGCTTTATTAATCATAAATAAAATTATCCCATTTATGTCAAATATGTTTTAGTCGTTAGATAGATTTAGTGATCTGTATCTATCGTTCTATAAGTGCGATGGGATTACGCTAGATGGCGTTAAAAGGCCAATCGTTAGAAAAGTCGATTTAATATTGGAAATCGTAAAGTCTGATCGTCATGTGAGCACTGTTTAGATTGCCAAGTAGCTAAACATTGCACAAAAAACACTTCAGTTCGGAACGACTGGAGAAAAAGGCTGGACACACAAACAACCTAGATATATGGAAAACACATGACTTTACGAGAAAAAGCCTCATGAACCGAATTTCCACCTGCGCAGCGCTACCTAATAGTAATAAAATCGACCCATTCCTGCAGCGGGATCACTGGATCACTTACAGCAAAGTCAAACGAAAACGGTCGCGGTCGAAGGACACTGATTTCAAGCCAGAATTGACGGCCAGGAAGGTGCGCTTGGTGGAATTGTCAAGGAGTCATCTACTATGAGCTGCTTTCCTACAACAGACTCGGACCTGTACTATCTGTAATTGAACCGTCTGATTGAATCAATCGCCCAAAAATACCCAGCTTGAGCCAACTTGAGGGAAACGCCACACTACAAACATCGATGGTGACTCGCTAGAAACTTCAAAAGCTTGATTAGAAGGTTCTTATGTATTCTCTTTATAGTCCAGGCCGTACACCAAGTGATAATTATCTGTTCTCAAGAGAAGTCTGTGAGAATTGATACTCCCAATTTTTGGCCAATGGGGACATGGGATTTATGTTACTCGTCTACTAACATAAAAAACTACAAATTAATACGTAATGACAGGCCAGGAAGAAGAGGAGGTGGGGTTGCAATATTTTGCAAGGACATATTTTCTATGAAATTACTTTCAAAATCTGCTGATAGCGATATTGAATATTTAATTGTAGAAGTAAGCCATAAAAAATTCCAGACTGTTGTTTCTTGTGTTTATAATCCTCACCGAACTAATGTTGTCAAACCTTTTTTTGATGTAATTTCTTTATATGTTGTTAAGTACAATTCAGTTATAGTATGTGGTGATTTTAATGTTAATCTTCTTGTCAACGACTCTTATACAAATAATTTACTTGACAATCTATCCAGTTGCTCTCTCTCTGTGGTCAACCGATCTCTTCCTACGCGGTTTGCAGTGAATTGCACTCCTAGTCTTCTTGACTACTTCATAATTCTTGACTTAACTACTGTATTAAAATTTGACCAATTAACTTTTATATCTGACCATGATCTCATTTTCTGCTGTTTGGACATAAATATCGATCGTTGNCGACTTGCTATACAAATTATTCTTCCGGTCATCATGTACTCTGAAGTCGTATACAGCAAACATGACAGTTTTTCTGCTCGTAAAATTGACGTTATGTTTAATAATGTCACACGGTACGTGTTTGGTCTTTCCAAATATGAGCACATTTCGTCTTGGAAAGATCAGATATTAGGATGTACGATTGCGGACTATCATAAAGCCAGAAATTGTATTTTTCTTTGCAAGCTCATCATGACTCAATCACCTAGTTATCTTTTTTCCAAGTTATCGTTTACTCGGTCAGCCAGAGTAGGTAATATAATAATACCTTTTCATAGATCACAGCAATCATCAAGGCTGTTCTTTGTCAATGCTAGTCGATTATGGAACTCTCTTCCTGCTAATTTAAGGAGGAAATTAAACAGAAGCAATTTCAAGAACCACATATATATGCATTTTAAAGGCCAAATTTCAAACATAGACTGACCATTCAATAATTGTTTAAGTTTTTGTCATACTCAACTCATTATATATTATAATTATTTTTATTTTTATTATTATTTTTGTTAAGGTATCTGTAAAGTAATATTTACTTATTCTTCACACTATCTCTGTTGTACTAAAAAAGATATGGAAATCTTATTGTACTAATGCTTTGTTATTATTATTAAATAAAGAAATAAATAAAGAAAGTTTCTTCGACCTTTAAAATGAAGCGGTGCATATTTCACTAGAATCGAATAATTCTAAATAAAGCCTTTTAAATTTAATTCTATAATAGTGGAAGACTTTTTACTAGACCAATATGTTCTACTAAAATTATTTGGGAAAATGGTATAATTTATTTTTAGATATAGTATCTCCTGTGAAAAGAGATAATTTTATTTAGATGTTTGAAATTTCTACTTTGTTGTGTTAGTATAAAAAAAAAATAATTTAAGTGTTTTTATATATTATTTATTTGAAAAGCTAATATTACAATAAAAAATTAAAATGAAATTAGCTGAGTAGCCATAGCAACAATAGGCCTAGGATTGACGTTTAGTTCCAGTGTTTGCTTAAAATTTTCAGCTTGTTTATAAGCTTCTCCCAGAACTTCTTTTGGCTGTTTTTAGCTTCTTTTATAAGGTCTTTTAGCTGGATTACTGAAAGAATTCTGGCAGCACTACACACCGCACGCTGAGAATATATAATAAATCGCTCTCTTTAAATTTCATTTCAAACATAAATGTAGAAAACCAGCGAGTAATAAATAGTTTTGTATTGTCAGCCAGCTTTGAATTTATTAACCCAGGTATATATATGCCGATGAGTACGTGGTCATTCTCCAAGTAAAACGAGTTTCTTCTCCATTGTTGTTGGTCAAAAACGTCACAATTCGTTGGTCTGCTATAGGTTTGCTTGTGATGGCAGCGAGCGAGCAACAGTCAGTTAAGATCTGCTCGTCGATCGCATCGGTTGTTCGTGATTTAAATTATTGTACATTTGTTGCGCGTTTAAAAGATTATAAACCAATCAACAAGTATTCATTTCCTTCCTTCATTTAGGTTACTAACACGCTATCCGCCGGTGTTTCACTCATTTGCATACAATTCAAAGTATTTGTGGTTTTTGTTACATACAAGTACAACCCAGTGCTGAACAGGTAATTATGACGTAGATATGCACATCTGATGTCCTGACCTTTTGATCATTTATTCGAGTATATAAATACATATGCATATGTACGTGTACAATACCAACATGTACCCATGTATGTATATACAAAAATATGCACACAAGTTGATGTTCTTATACTTTTGTGTAAGAAAAATAAAAAAAAGTGAATTGGGAGAAGATAAGTGTGTGTTTTTTTTAGGAAAAGATTAGAGATTTTGTACCCTTTGAATGATAAAACTATTTTTTGTATATAAATGAATAAAGAATACAATACTAGAGGGAATCAATTGTTAATAACATATATGTACATATATACAAGTGTAGAGATAAAGAACGAGCGCAGAGTTTTAAAAAAGAGCGCGCTGAGAACACGTTTACGTCTTTTAATGACACAAATAAAATGAAAATTAAACAACAACAAAAGGAAAAGAAATCCCTATAAAGTCAACAAATGAAAAGAAAACACATAAGCGACAAATCCGGGGCGGTTGTTGAGCACTGAAATGTGGAAACACGAGCAACTAACTGATAATTACTAATGCCAGCAAGGCAAATTACTTATCGGCAAATATTTTTTTTGTTTTAATCTTTTTGGTTAATTACACACAAAAGTACACTTCTATTTGTGGACTTCCGTAGCTCTTGCCAGTCACAAATTTGTTCGGAGCCCCTCGTTAAGAGACGAGAGAAGTGTACGTTAGCCGGTTGATCTCATGCACTCAGCTAATTGATTATTTCTTTAAAAGAATAATCTCTTCTCCAAATATTAAATACTAAATGCAAAAAATGAACAAAATTTCCAGTAATCGTCGATTGTTTTGTTGAGCATAGAATCTTACAGGATATGCTTTAGATGAATGGACTTAAGAGGTATGAAAACAGCGTGAAATATGAATTTTATATCTGTTTCAGTGCGCAGAAGAATATATTTCGGTAAAATTACGCAAACCTCTAAAAGACTACCCGAAGTTTTGACTGTGTCTTTAAGTATGTCAAGAAAATTTTCATGAACAGCTGGATTTTGTGAAGCCTAATTATTATAAAGGCTTTTATGCAAAGTCGCCTCAACTACTTCCTAGTGCTTCCCCCAATACTCGGTTTCGACGTATTAAAAAAGAAAAACCGAACTCTTGAAGACGTATATAATCCAATTATAAGACATAAATGTCATCTTCTTTGTGCCAGAAAATATACAAACATTTTTTGGCATCTTTTATTCTTTGAAAGCAAATCACATAAATTATAGAAAATACTAAATACGAATACCTCTGGAAAAACATGTTTTTTGGATTTAAACGAAAATAATAAGTGACTGTTACGTACCTAAGCTTTGGGCTTTTTCGACACGGTTGGATAGATTTTGTTACTTATGAGAAGGTAGCATATTTTTACTACTTATTCCTATTTATATCTGCTCATAAAAGTACAAAAAACGTTCTTAAACTTGACCTATAAAATCCAATCTTATGAGAGGAAAATGATTGAACGCGCTTGTAGATACATTTTGTACGAAGTTCTTACAAACACATAAGATCTTTAGATATACATAGAATTAATATAAACATGCATGCATGTATATACATATACAATATAGATAAAAGATCGCGTGAACTTCCTATTGTTCGTAGTCGTGAGGTAACTGTTAGTATTTGCTCACTTATGTGCCCAACTGAGCAGCGAACGAAGCTCAAACAGAAAGAAAAAAACCTATATTTATTTAACAATCAAATAAAAGTCTAAAATACAGCAGAAATACAAACAAAGCGGAAAAAGAGACCTAAAGAATGTATGTATGTCTCATGAGGTCAGAAACCTTTGAGTATTTCAAATATTTGTACTACTTTTATACGAAGAAAGGTGTAGAGCTATTATTCTTCAGATTTCAAAAAAAATTGTTTGCCACTCATTCATTACCTATTTAATAAAATACGATTGAAATAAATTTAATAAAATCAGATGAAATAAAATAAATACAAATTATATGAGATAAAATAAAGCAAAGCAAAATTAAATAAAGCAATATAATACAAAATAAAATAAATTAATATAAAAAAATTAAATAAAAATAAATAAACAAATTAATGAAAAAGAAATCAAACAAAAATAATTAAAATAAAATATAGTAAAACAAAATAAAATAAATTAAAGTAAAGTAAGCTAAAAAACAAATAAATTCAAGAAAAATAAAGTCAAATAAAACATAAATAATAAAAAAATATTGCGAAAAAAATAATACAAAAAATTAAAACGAAATAGAAATAAAAATATATATATAAAAATAAATGAAATAAAATATAGTAAAAAAAGGAGGAAAATAAAATATAATAAAAAAGAAGAAAATATAATAAAATAAAACAAATTTATATGAAATAAAATAATAACAATAAGATAAAATAAGATTAAGGAATAAAATAAAGCGAAATAAATTAAAATTTAATAAAATGGAATAAAAACAGATAAAAAATAAAATATAAATAATAAAACTAAATAAAATATAATTAAAATAGTATATAAAATGAATTAATTTAAATAAATGAAAATAAAGTAAATTAATATAAAAAATAATAATTAAAATAAAATATAGTAAAACAAATGAAAATAAAATAAATAAAAAATAAATATAAATGAAATGAATTAAAATAAAGTAAGATAAAAAACTATCAAATTCAAGTAAAATAAAGTTAAATAAAATATAAATAATAAAATACAAATAATAAAAAATAGGAAAATAAAATATAGTAAAAAAGCAGAAAATAAATTAGAACAAAATAATATAAAATAAAAAATAGCAACTTTATAAAAAATAAAATAGAACGAAATAAAATAGAATAAAATGGAATAAAAATATTAATAATAAAAATAAATAAAATATGGCATAAATAAGATTAAAAAATTGAGTAAAAGAAAATGAAATATATTAAAATAAAATAGACAAAACAAAATTAAATTACAAGTACAATAAAATAAAAAGAAAATTATTAACAAAAAATAAAATAATATAAAATAAATTAAATTATGATAAATAACAAATAGGGAAGACACAAACAACAAAATACAAATAAAAAAAAACATAATTATAAGTATTTAAGTGAAATCAAATGAATTAAAAACTGTTGCTTAGAACGGAAAATTTTAGTATTTCGTACTTTGCACCATTAAAGATCAATATAAAAATTTAAAGTTACCCTTTTAAAAATTATTTAAATAAATTTCAAAATATAAGGCAGTTTGCTACAGGCAAATCCACATATATAAATCTCAAATTTTTATTTTTTATTTTCAACGTAAAAAGAAAAATAAATGCTATTCTATTGAAGATAAAGTTTAACAAAAAAATAAATTTAAATTAATTGCATATTTTCCCACCGCTCTTAAGTAATTAAAAAACCAAAATAACAATAATAAAAATAGAAATAAAATAAAAACATTATTTTCCGCTCATATCACTTGTACACTTCCTTTCTCAACACTTTCTTCACTCTTTAATTAATTACCTCATTTCTGGTGTCGTTTTGGCTTAATTAAGCGTTTTAAAAATTTTGCTTTCTCGAGTTCATTTCTCTTCTACGCGTACACATAATACCTAATTTAACTACAAATATACAATTGTACATAATTAGATGTACCTATAAGTGGTTATGCATCTTGAATACGTAATTACAGCGCAACATACAACCTATTAACATAATTAAATTATATATTGCCTTTGTTATTTACTGGACTTAATATGAGAAGAAAAATATTTCAATGAAATGTTAATTACATACTCGTATATATGTATATATGAAAAACTTTCTTTTCCCTTGTCCTCAAAATGATAATTTATTACCTTCAAATATCTAAAAAGTTACTTATTTGGTTCAATTATCGAAAACTCACGCAGATTTACCCAAATACAACACCCACTCATCAGCAGACAAACAATACTTATGTAAATAGAGCATGATGATGATTGGTCATCGGATTTTTTTTTGTAACACTTTTGCCAAATTCGTCAAATCATAATTAAAAATGTATATGTATGTAATATGACCAACAAAATCGACACAAAACAGTTTTGAAGTGTCGATTTCACCTTCCAAATGTTGCGCATGCGTTTTAGCTGTACATTTAAATGGCAAATCTGCAAATATTATATATATAAACAGTAAAAAAAAAATAGATGCAGTTATAAAAGAAAAAATTAAGATGTAAAATCGAATTTCACAATTCACTCTACCTCTTTCAACCGAACAAAAAAGTACAAGAAACAATGCAAAGAAACCGTAATTGCATAATACAATGCGAAATGGCAAACAAAAAAATATACCGTACTCATACATGAGTACGTACTTATGGAAATGTGTACATATGTATGTTTATGATTTGTTCGAAATGAATGAATGACAAACAGTGGGCAGGAGATGTAAGAAATTAAATATTTTCAATTAATTGCATAAGAAATGTGGTGGGTGCCAAAACAATGTCAAAAATAACGAGCAAACAATTATGAGACTTTAATTTATTACATATTATATAATTCTATTATAATTTATTTGTATTTCATTTTATTTTGTTGGATTAGGTTAATTACATTTTTTATTTCACAATATTTTTTAAATGAATTTTCGGGTTTTTAATATGTTTAAATTATTTTAATTGCAATTTTTTGTTTCATTTAAGTTTTTATTCGATTTTAGTCGTTAACTTTTTGGTTTATATTTATTTTACTTCATTTTATTTCTTTAATGTTTTTAAGTTTTTCTTATTTTTTAAATTTTTATTGTATTTTAGTTTAGGTTTTCATTCTATTTTAATTATTTCAGTATATTCTATTTTCTTCTTTGCATTACTTTTTACTTTATTTTGATTTATTTTTTTATGTCATTGTAATTTATTTTATGATTTTTATTTTAACTAGTTTTTTCATTCTATTTTCTATTACTTTGTTTGGTTGTAAATAATTTTATTTTATTTATTTTTTTAGTTTATTTTACAATACCTTATTTTATTTTACATAAAATAGTGTGACTATATTAATGAATTTATGTTAAATAAAAATTTCATTTTATTGTTTCACTTCAGTTAATAAAATTCTTTTGTACATAATTTTTTGGTGTTATATTATTTATTTAATTTCATTATATACCATTTAATTTTATTTTACAAAGAATATTTATTTTTTGTTCTATTTCAGATCAGTTAATTCTCTCTCATTTGACTTTATTTTACTTGAATGAATTTAATTTAATTTTTACCTCATTTTACTCGATTTTATTTTTTTTTTTATTTAAGTTACTATTTTGCTTACATTTTTTATTTATTTTTATTTTAGTTCGTTTTTTTTATTTTGAAAAGATTTTTTTTAATTTATTTTACTTTACTTCAGTATATTTTTTTTTTAAGTCCATTTATTTTATTTTATTCTTTTTTATATAATTTAATTTTTGTTCGTACTTTATATTATTTTAATTTACCTAAATTTATTTTAATTTTTTATTCTATTCTATTTAATTCTTTTTTATATTATTTTATTTAATTTAATTTTAATTTATTTAATATTAATATATTTTATTTTAATTTGTTTTAATTTAATTTGTTGTATTTTATATTAGTTCAATTTATTTAATTTTCGAATTTTATATTATATTAATTTATTTCAGCTTATTTTTATTTTAATTTATTTTTATTTTGTTCTATTTTATTTTATTTTATTTTATTTTATTTTATTTAATTTTTTTTTTATAATATCATATTTTAATATATATATTTTTTATATTATTTTATTTTAATTTTTCTTTTTCCATTTCATTTATTTTATCATATTTTAATTTATATTTTTTAAAGTTTCATTTCCAATTGCTGCACTGTTTTAACTCCGCAGGTTGTTTATGAGATTCTTTTTTATCTTTAACTTATTATTGCATTGCCGTAGACATTGAGCTCCGGTGCGTAATCATTTTTTTTTTTTTTTAATTTTGTAATTTTCAATGCTTTAGCTTCGGATTTTGTTAATGATTATGCAACTGTTGGCCATCATCCGGGCAGCATGATGATGATTTCAATTGCATACAAAGCACCAAGTTACGAAAGCAAGTGATGTATGCACAATTTTATTTTCATGCGTACATACATACATACTGCACTTAAAGCTTTGTTTGCTTTACGCCAAAATGTTTCGATTTCTAGTGAAATCAAAGTTAATAGTATGAATAAAAAGTGTAAATAATTGGCAACTGATTCGACTTGGAATGCGAGATTATTTTGTAGCTTGAAATTGAATTAATTTTGCGAGCGAATTTCTAAAAAGAAATTATTTACTGCTAAAAGGACTTGCATACTACAATACATATGGGGTATAAGTTTCGCGCTAGAAAAAGAAACTCAAAATATTATTATCAAAATTGTTTCTGGCCTCCTGCCGAGTTTCCTAACAATAAAAGTTCTAGTAAGTTCATTTCACAAAAAACCCGGGAAATTTGATCATTGTCTAGTACCAAAATGATTAAGCATTAGTAATGCCGACTCCAAATGATGTAAGAAGGGCTTAATGCTATAATACTGCGACTACCCATCTTATATACCTCTCGTCCATAGAAACCTATTTTATTAGAGCGCATGTAAATGAAAAGTAGTCACTGCTTTCGATGCCGTTACTGACGGTTACAGTCGGGTGTTATGGCTGTGCGGTATGTAAGATGGGTAGTTGCAGCATAAGATTCCACGGCCTTCCAATTGAGTTATAACTCTTTCATCATGTGAAAATTTACTCATAAATATGTGGAAGAGAGCGACCGCGAACGCTCCTTGCAAAACGTGGAGGACCAATCCATATAGTTCGATACCAAGTTAGGTTTCAGACTTTTTTTCGTGTGATTTATTTTACTTAATGTCAGAGAAAATATTATAAGCTGCAGGGTTAAGCAGAGAGGGAATAATATTTTATAAGAGCGTATACTGGTGATATTAGCATTATCGGTAGCTCTACTTTCACTAGAAAGGATTAGGAAGCGAAACTAATGGGTCTGGTAATAAATGAGGACAAGACGTAATATCTCTTCTCATAAAATAAACAGTCACCACATTCTCGTCTTGGCTCCCAAGTCACTGTGGACAGTCATAATGTTGAAATCAAGAAAAAATCATCAAAACCACCAACAATGTTAATCATAGGTTATAGTTTACCCTGAGTAGGCAATTGAAAAGTGAGATCTTCCCTCCACCTCCACGAACACCAAAGTATAGTCCTGCTATACGATGTAGAAGCGTGGATGGTTACGACATCTGATGACTCAGTGCTGGGAGTTTTCTAGACAAGAATGTATGGCCATTTGGTTATTGATAACGGTTAATGTTACAAACGAAGGAACTATGCATCGTACGAGATAAACAATGACATTGAGTTAGTTCAGCTAATTAGGAGACAGCGGCTACGCTGCCTAAGTCAAATCAATCCAGTAATAAAAACATTAAAAGCAGTTGCCGCAGGCCATAACAGAGGTGGAGGAGGGCTTATACTTGGCAAGATCAGGTGGACCGAGTGAAGCCCCACATTGGAATCGAACAGCCAAGAAAAGAAACGAAGAGCATTTTGTAGAGAACTCGGCTATAATCCTGTAAGCGGCGTGTACGCCAATAAGTAGGATGAAGTTGAAGAGAGAGAAAGAGAGACATAGAGATTGAAAGAGTGGCACACACACACACTCAGAGAGATTTATATAGAGAGAGAACGGATATATATATATAAAGCGAAAGAGAGAAACAGAAAGGGCGAGAAAGAGAGAAAAAAGCGAGTGGAAGCTTTTGCTTGCAACTTGGTACTCGCAGCCAGATTATTTGTTCTCAACTTCTTACTAAATATTTAACAATTCGTACAGTTTATCAATCTTATCATTACAATTTGAACATTTCTAATTTGGGCATGATTTTTTTATTTTTCCTTTCTTCCTCTTTTCAACAAAATTTCATTTCCTATTTTCGGAACATTTTCATTTTCTTTTACAGATAATACCAAACAAACTACAATAACAAACAAACAAAATAAAATGGCCAAATTCGTACTTATCGCAACGTGCCTTGTTTTGGCGTCAAGTGTACGAGCACAAGAATTAAAAGTCGATGTCATCAGTACGCCAGAGGTGTGTGAGCAAAAGTCGAAAAATGGTGATATGCTGACAATGCACTATACGGGCACACTGACGGACGGCAAGAAATTCGATTCGAGGTGAGTTAAATGTTCACATAAACATACAAACGGACATACATACATATATATATATACACATATGTATGTATGCATGGTTTGGTATGTATGTGGTGCATGAGCTGATAAGCGCAAATTAGGGAAAGTGAAAGCTAGTTGCTAGTTGAAAAAACGTAAAAAATTATATAATTAGTTTAATTTATATTTTCAAAATATTTTTAATTAATTTAATTTTTTTTTTTTCAAACATTCGTATGTTTAACTCTATATGTACTCGTATTTATTGTTGTTTCTAGACATTGAAACTCTAAACTTCAACCATATTTAACCATATTTATACATATGTATATATACTTTAACCTGTATGCATGTGAGTATGTGTACTGTTGCACGTGACAGCGTATGTTGCTCGTAAATTAGGCGCCGCTATCAATGAGATCAACACAAAGAAGATAAGCTTTGCTGCCGCTTTTTGTATTTTGTGTTATTTATAACCGCTGCGCATTCGACGCTGATTTTTATAACAGTCATTTTTGTTGTTGGCATTGTTGTCATTGTAATTATTTAGCATTACATAGATATGTATGTACTTACATATAATACCACATACATATGTTTACCGCAAAGTGACTAATTTTTATTGGACCACCACCCAAGTCAGCCTAGACATAGTTGTTTTTGGGTGAAAGCTCTTATATGTACTGCATGCTTATTTACATACATACATATACATAGGTATACATAAGTGGCTTCTCAGTTGCCACAAAAGTGCGAAAGTGCAACGCACTGTGGCCAAAAACCTTTACTGTTGCTGTTGTTGTTGTTGTTGTTGAAACCCAATTAACAAACACTGCCTCTTTGCACACTTTCTCGGCTACATACTCGCATACACACATATCTACAATATGTACATACATACATATTCAACGTGCATTGTGACGCGCTGATTTATTTGCCCCTCGTTGACTTTACTGGTGTTGCGCCGCTATTGTATGTAATTAAATTATGTGTCAACAAAAAGTCAACAAAAACAACAACAACAAAAGGGTTTAAGTTTTTGGTCTAACAAATGATGGCAAGTGGAGAAATTTCTACATTTGTACATACCATGAGTTAACTCTTGGTGTGTTACCGCAGTTATCCCTACCGGCTGAAATAGGCGAGAGGTTATATTAGGTGTGGTAAAAAGAAATCCATTATTTTTGCGTAAAATTGAATGGTTTAATTTTTTCTTCTCATATCCAGCCTTATTCAAATGGTTCCAAACGATTTTTCTTGTAATCTTTAGGTCTTGGGCAATCGAAACATTGCTTACATGAATGACAGTCGGACTCGACAATGCCCATGATTTTATTGATATTTTCGACAATTTGCCCTCCAATCCATGAAGCATCTTTTACATCAAAATTAGCGGAATGAACCTGAAATTGTGCATGATTGACTGTAACAGTATCAGGACCATAAACGATATTCATGTCTTCAGCCGTCTGGCTTGCGTTTTTGCGCTTATCGTAGAAAAACTACAAAATATAGTGTCCATCTTTGACGCACGCTCAAACAAGACTGAATCAACCAATTACAAAACTGTCAGAAAAGCTTTTTCGTACGAAATGTCATCTTTCTAAAGCCATCTAACGGAACCCAATCGGACTTTTACAACGCGAGATACAGATAAATAACGCCATATATTGGAAAAATAATGGATTTCTTTTCTACAACACCTAATACAATTCTTATGATCATACCGAAATGCGTGGTCTCAAAGTCTTGCCAGACTAAGATCTAAAATTATTGAAAATAAATTTAAAAAATAAATAATCAAATTTTCTAACAGCGTTCGCCCTTCGTTAGGAATTGTCAACCCCTCCGTTTGTACTTCTGACATAAAATAAAAGCTTTTTCAACAGCCTTTCGAAAGCTGCTTTGAAGAAACTCTTGGTTTCTCCATTTCTTGGAAATATTACGAGAGCTTGACCGCGACTTTGTCCACATGGTACTTTAAAATGCATTTAATAAAGTTTTAGGTTGTTTTCAAATAAATAAATTTAAATAATAATTATAAAATATAATAATTTTTATTTTAATGTAAGGATTTAAACCCTTAAGTAAACATGAAAATAAAATTCTCTAATTTTTTTTTTTAAAAAAAGATGTCATACACCTATAAAAATATTTCCTTGTAGACAACATTTTTCGTTTCTCCGTTGAATGCTGGAATCACGTAGTTATTTCTTAAGCTCAATCTGAATCAAACCACATACAATTGGGTGATTCTCCCAGCTTTCTCTCAAGTCTATTCCTGCTACCTTAAGAGTTTGACCTTCAGCTTTGTTTAGGATTATTGCGAAGTATACTTTGATGGAATGCTAGGAATCAATGCAGATTGTACTTAAAAACAACTTGTTTGTATAGTAGCCTCAGCAACATTTTGAAGCAATACTCTCACCTATAATCTGCTGCCATTGCATAATTTTGGTGAATTATATTGCGCAATAACATAATTGACGCTCCAAACATATTCAATATGTTAGTTGGGAGACGTAGAGGCTTTAGTTTATCCAGGAGCTCTACCAGATAATGAGCGGCATCATCGGTACTCATCGCTGATTCGACGAATTTTTATTGATATTCGAAGGGCTCGAATGATTTTAAAAGTATTTCATTGATTCAATTATATTATTTATGCATGGGCAACAGTTTTGAGAGCTATCCGGTAGTAGCATTTGTGCTCTCAAATGAGACCCAGTTTTTTCACTGAAGGCCATTAACAAGATCGGTTAACGCATGCTTTAATTTAAAGTAAAGTCTGAAGGATGCAGTAACTCCTCCAAAAACGTGGCAGCGATCTACCAAATCCATAAAAAAAAGATATCGACAAACCTTGCTTCGATATTTAAAAGTATATGTGTAGTAATCCATATTTACCTGTTCAAATCGATACCACAAAAGTCCCCAATATCCACTTCTCAGAACATGTAAATGAAACGATTTAATTTATCAGTCCCAAACCCACATCCTTCAAGTTTCTGGTCTCTACGATCAGTGGTTTAGGCTAAGGGATGATCCGTCAGTCCAACAGCTCCCGCAGTTCTTTTATATCGAGTTGTTGATGGTTACTCTCAGAGTACAGGAGTGCCAGACGAGCAGAAAAATGTTTGAAGATTTATTGTGATTGCAGCTTCTCTACATCTAATCTTCCTTGTGTTCATGTTGTTATTGTTGTAACCGCAAAAATATTCCCCATATTAGTTTTCGGCGAATATTTCGAGAGTGGCAATCATTAGTCGGAAAAAATTTGGGTCGTTCCGACGTAAAACTAGAGTGTCGCGGGATTTTATTTTATTTTATTTTATTCGCCTCTTACGACAGGCATGCCTTACCGCGGTTAAATTCTTAAATCCCTTGCTCGCAGGATTTGGCGCTTGTTGGCCAGCGTTCTTCGCTGCAAGTTTACAGTCCGATTTGATATGCAGTCGGAGCGTGCGCACGCCTAGAATACTGTATATATGATGTCCGTCTATCACAACATGGTTAAGAGTTCTCCGATCCAGCGATAGCCATGCAGTATCATATTTAGATTATATTATGTCGGAATCTGATATCGCAGACAACCATATTTCGTGCCCCAACGAAGTCGTTCAACCCCAGCTCATTTGTGGTTGCTTCGCCATGTAAGTTAAGGAAATTTAGAAGACCGTTTTAAGGAAAGAGAACTCCCTACAACCAACTAGCAGGTTGGTCTTCTTCTTTTTCTGAAGGACCAATGCAAATTATTAAAAGAAAAGTGCAATTTACCAAGGCCAACCTTCTTCAAGGAAATTTTCAACATAAACGTCGGTAAATGTAATAAACAGAGGAAATTAATCGTAATGATTGAGTTATGAAGTACAGATTTTTGGAAGCGTTCCAACCGACATACACAAATACCTTTTGTGAAGAGTTGCCAGTAAATGACTTTTTGGTATGTCGAACAATATTTGAGATAGTTTGCATGTGGCATGCCACTCGTCATGTGCTACATACAGAAAAGCTTAAAATTATTACGTGGCACTTTGCTCTCAAAATACACTCGCCCGCAGTAACTGCTCATTTATTACCTTGGACTTGCTCGACTTGCTCTACTTGAAATTCAAATTTAGTTTAGCAAAAGTAAATAAGCCAAAAGAAAAAAATAAAATATTCAAGTACATACAGATATACATACATATGAATGTATTTGTATACTCGTATCTATCATGTGCATCCGTCAATCGCTGATGTTGCCACTTTAAGTGCCCGTGGACAACCGGTTGTCAGTGTGGTGGCATGCAACATTTTTGGCAACATCACCATCGACTTCAATAACATCGTCATCAGTAGGGGGAGCAACAACAAGTAACAGTTAAAAAACCAGATGCTCCAATAACTTGAATCGTGTCGTCAAAGTAGACACATATGCACATACATACATACATACATACACACACATAGTTTGAGTAAACTCCGTGGCGGGTATGAGTAAATTGTTTTAGGGCAACCAGCGGCAACTTCAACAATCATAAAGCATGCAGCAACCAGGTATTCACATGTCTGTATGTATGTATGTATTTAAGTATGTACGGATGTATGTATATACATGTTTGCGCCAAACTATGACGATACGCAGGAGAAAGTTTTTGATTTCTGTTTAATTTACCGTGATTTCATTTTAGTTTACAAGTTTCGCTCGCCACTCCACCGTTCGCCAGTCAACTAGTCTGTCCCTCCGCCAGCCAACCAGGTAGTGAAGTTGGAAAAATTTGCCAAGTGAAGAAAAAAAGCACAAAACAAATCAGTTAAAACGTTTGAGCTCTTAGCGCTGACAAGTGTCACTTGTTGTACCACCTACACACCCGTACCCACACCCACACACGCACATTCGCTCTTATACACACACACACGAATAAGCGTTAAACCATCGTTTTTTTTTCATAAAAACATTTGCTTAGTGCCCCTCATGGCTGAGCACCACTTAGACTGACCATTAGTCACCAGCATTTGGT